ACTAAATGCCACCCGCTTGATGGACAGCCATGGGATACGCTGCGGTCTTGTCTGTTAGTGCGTTCTTAACCACAACCGAAGCGTTGCACTATAAAATATATTTGTATTAATTATACAAAATAATACCTGAAGGAATCCATATAATATTCTTAGGCACAAAGTGCAATACCTTAACATAAAACTATTTCATGAAGACGTTGTAAATGCCTTTAGCCTGGTACTGCACTCTTAATACTCTTAATGTTATTTCTGTGACTCTTCGCTCTTAGCGTCTTAATATAATGTTCAACGAATGTATTGTACGTTATAGAGTTTTTATGCTATTGACATTTATATAGGGTTTTATGCTTTTTATCCTGCTGTAGACTTCTTCCAATCCAAACTCTTCTAACAAATTAAGGTTAAATTCATAATAAATTCACATTTCGTATACCAGTGCCTATTGGCAGATAACGTAGATTGCAACTCGGATATTTTATTTATATTTAACAGCTTTCTAATAAAACCTTCGTATGTATTTGGCTGACGGCATTGAATTCTTTCAGCTCAGCTAGTACCTTTAGTGACCCAATAAAGACATAAAACTAAGTAATTCTTGACAGTAAATTGCTCTGCCTCTAGGAAATAATTATTTGTGCTTAAGTATGACTTACAATTAAACGTATTTACTTTTTTTTTTAATATTTTTCGAGTAGAGTCCGGAATTTATTAAAAATATAGAGGAGGCTGCTCTATATTTCATTGAATCACTTAAAGTTCTTGCAGTTAAAAGTTTTACTTTCAAATGTGACTACATAAATTACTACATATTCGTACTACATATATCATTATTTTCTGGACCCCATTTTTGTACAAAAATTTACTTAGTTACTTAGATGCATATGTTTAAAATTTTAAATATTGAAGATAAATGAAATCTGAAATTTATTTAATAATCTTATAATTCAAACTACAAATACTCTACTATTAAGCAAAAGCTTAGAATCAGAATCTGTTTGAATCTTAAAGAACTTACCAATGCATAACATTTAAGTACTGTACAAAAGACTAAAGAACTTTGCTTTCTTACAAAATATTAAATTCAACTTAAGGTTAATGTTTAAGAATAATTAATGAGCTAAAAAGAGTTACACAAATTATGTTGTAAAATTTGGCAGTCACAAAAGCAATTTGGGATACTTCCTCTCTCATGATCATTTGACTGCTAGACATGAAAGTTATTGATCGTTACATTTACAGCTAAAAGAAAAATGATCATTTGTAAAAAATTTAATAAACTAGAACTTAGTTAACAAATTAATTAAGAACTGTTCTTACTCTAGTAAATGTTTTTTCACACCACTTTCAATTTGATAACAGTAAGAATATTTTTTTGTACTTCGAACTTAAAGTTCTGACATAAAGCTAGTTGCTTGCATGGGAAAATATTGCCGACATGTGATTATTAAAACAAGAGAACGTTAATTAGCTGTGTATTTGTCAATAATACTAATTACCTACTTAACCATGAGAAAAATAAAATATAAGCCGCTGTGCAAATGTAACGAATATAACGTTTTAATGGGGCAGCAGATATGATCATGATCGCTTACGAGTCCGAAAGCAATTGCTAGTTCAATTGACTTGGTTCATTGCGAATCTTGCTTAGTTGCACAGTGGAAGTAGCACTTCTTGCAAATATTGAATATTTATGCACAAAACTGAATAAATTAATAACTCTCAATATTTAGAAGTATCTATAGCCAGAAATAATTTGCATAAAATCTGTCACCCATGTCAGCCAAAGTTTAGTTTGCTTTGTGAGAGTAGCGCTCAAAAGCTGCAAGTTGCCTCAGTTTACAGCTTTGTAGGCCTGTGCAGCTGCAAACTTATCGTTTGTCGTTTTCATACTGTACCGTTGGTCAGAGAAAGAACGTAAAGATGCCTAAAAATTAATTAGAAAATATTTCTGCTGCTGTAAAAGATCCGCTAAGGCAACCAACCAAGCATAAAGCAGCCGATTAACACTTCTGGGCACCGCAGCCCAATCAGGTGTGGTGTAACCAATTTCATTGTTAACCAGCCGCAACGGCAAGAGCAAAAAATCACACAAAAGAAGAAAATTATTACGATTATTGCTCGAGCCCTGCAGCTCTGGGGATATTAAAAGTAAATTAGTTTAAAATTACGTTTCAAAGTGGATTTAAACGAGTTTTGTAATTAAATTCCGAGTTATTACTGATTACGGCTTTTGCCCGAGGAGTGAGAAATTGTTTTCTATTGAAATTCGATTGTAAATGCGATTATGTAACTATGTGGTACTGTCTCAACTATCGATTCCATTCCTAATAAGCCCAGTTGTAAATATTTAATTATTACTATTAGCCGCACTCCAAACTTCCTTTTAAGCCCTTAAGTGTGTGTCTCTGTATTAACATTTGCGGCATTTACAGCATTTACAGCTTTGCATAATATTTACATAAGCCATTAAATCATCTATATCGCTTTAATATCTGCTCAGAGCAGTAGGGTCTTAGCAAACTTCCCTAAAACTCATTTCGTCTGCTCTGTTGTCTTCGGCTACACAACGTGGTGGTTCGATATATCGTAGGTTGGCCAGTAACAAAAATTTATTAGCATTAACAAGTGCAGCCATAAATGAGGCATGCAACAATACGCATTGCTATGGTTTGCATGCGAAGTACGCTATTTTTAATGCAAATTATGGTAATATTGTAATATTATGGCAGTAATGAGCTGAAACCTTCGCATATAAGTACCTGCTATAATAGCATTGTCTCCTGGCATGAGACCATGGAACATAGACAGAACATAAAATTGTGTTTAATTGAATTTTAAATACAATTACATTGAAAAGCTTTTATTTCCTTTTTGTTTTACAAGAATCATATAAATGACAACAGAGAACTTTTTATGGATGCTGTAAAACGCATTCTTATATCGGATGTTCGTTTCGCTGCTTAAGAACTTAAAATGATAATACAAAACGGAAATATTATTGAAATAAAATTTTTTTAATATAATCTGCTAGATAATTTCATGCTATTAATTTTTTTAATATGATTACTGATATATGTCCGCCTCGGGTACGAGTTACATGGTCCATTCGATCAGTTCCATTTTTAACTACGTTTTGCAATATATGTGGTGGCATGCCACGTTAATGGTGGCATGAACATTGGCTTCCTATGCTTCAAGAGTTCATGGTTTATCGATTGTCGTCCTAAACCAATGACTACACATAGTCCCATAAAAATAATCGAGAGGAGATAAATCGCACGAACGAGGAGGCCAGTTAACAGGACCACTTTTTAAAATAAAGTTGTTACGAAATTAATTTGGCAATAGCTCGATTGTTAAGTGCGTTGTATTGAAAGCGGCGATCTTGTTAGAACCAAATATAGTCGATGTTAAACTGATTTATTTTTGGAAACAAAAATTTAGTCAACATGTCTCGATAGCGCTTGCTCTTCACCGAAACGGCAGCACCTTTCTCATTTTGATAGAAATAAGGACCGATGCTGTCGCCAGCGGTTGATGATGAGTTTTACATTGCACCAAATAGCCAATTTTAATGGATGTAATGGTGATTTGTTAGTAGATTGAGGATTATCTTTGCTCCATATATGGTGCTTTTGACACAGCCATTTAACCAGAACTAAGCGACTATAAAATGGATGAAGTGCTCTATGAACTTCGGTAACAGGCTTATTTTTTTCAAAGTAAATTTCCACAATTTAGAAGCATTGGAATAGAAATGTCAACACAGTTTAACATTCTCTATGAAACTAGTAACCGATATCAATAGTTCTCATGCAGTTAAAAAAAATACCCGATATAAAAAAAAATTTATAATAAATCTGCTAAAAACAAATGCTTAGAAAATTTAAAATAAGTAGTCATACAACATAAACAGGGTTATCCATTTTGTTGTTCTCGAAGTAAAAGTACTTAGTGCTACAAAATAAATTTCAATCAAATTTTCATACAATAAATTGTTTTGGACCCAGCTAATTAACGTTCTCTTGTTTTGGACATGGAATACATCAACAAATGTCCTCTATGAGACATTGGGTCCTTCGGAAGTAAGTTTTGATAATTTGTCGAGACAAACCTAGCAATAGTTGTGTCAGCATTGAAACGCCAAGATTTTTAGGATTTTGAATATTAGCACGATACTTTGCTCAACTCCCACCATTTAACTAAGCATTACCATACCATTAACAACAAATTACCACAAAGTATGTGACAGTATCTTATTAAAATCATTTATCTTTCAGATTCACATTCATATCTTCAATTGAAAAGGAACAGTTTAAGGAAACCAAACTGTTGTATCTATCTATTCTAATTGCAGTGATATCCATGCCATGGAAACAATGAACACCATATACATCTTAAAACCAAAAAACAACTCAATAGAATTGAAAAAGATGCCACTGAAACTATACATAATATGGGTATTATACATAATTTAGTCTATTATGAATAGTAGACTCTTATATTCTCAAATAATATAACTTGTTCTACGGATTCATCTAACATATTTAAATAGATAGTTATGGCACAATTGTTGAGAAACTTTTTTGCATATAGTTTAAGCTTCAGTAGGCATTAAAAAATTATTTTATAAAAAATATAGAAAGTTTCTCTTCGGTAAACCATATTGTAATGTTTAAAAATACATTCTGTCTGGATGGATATATAAATTTCCCATAATATGTATGAGACGGTCCAACTCAATAGAAAAAAAATCTAGTCTTGATTGCTTCTTACTTTTCAGCAAAATTGTCATATTGGATGGAAATCATATAATTGGCAGCCAAGAATGCTGGTACTCGATGGAAGGTATATGTTCACTCTAATCTTTTTTTTGCAAAGTGGAAAAGAAGTTCAACATATTCTAATGATACTCCAAAAAATTAAGAATACTTACACTTTCTATTTTAGCCTAGCAAAATATATCCTTACCACATTAAACCTTTAATTTCAGTTTATTCGGAATACTGGTCACAACATAATAATCTGGAGAAAAACACTCGGTTTACAGATGTATAGAAATCTATTTCTTTATTTATTAAAGCAGCAAGATAAACTTCGTTGACTTAACATTATTTATTTATTATAAAATATTTATATATTAGCTTCTTACTTTCCAGCAAAATTGCCATATTGGGTGGAAATCATATAATTGGCAGCCAAGAATGCTGGTACTCGATGGAAGGTATGTGTTCACTCTAATCTCTTTTTTGCAAAGTGGAAAAGAAGTTCAACATATTCTAACGATACTCCAAAAAATTAAGAATACTTACACTTTCTATTTTAGCCTAGCAAAATATATCCTTACCACATTAAACCTTTAATTTCAGTTTATTCGGAATACTGGTCACAACATAATAATCTGAAGAAAAACACTCGGTATACAGATGTATAGAAATCTATTCCTTTATTTATTAAAAGCAGCAAGATAAACTTCGTTGACTTTACATTATTTATTTATTATAAAATATTTATATATTAGTTTCATTGTGTATTGATTTATTAATTGAACATTAAGTGCTTTCCTATAAAAACATTACACTCCTATCATTTCATTATATGCCATTAAACTTTTAAATATAAGTAATAATTTTTAATTAAAATTTTGTTTATTTAAAGCACCAAAACTTAACACCAAGTCGTTAATTAATAGAAATATATTTGATTTAATGATTTTTAGCTAAAATATTAAATAATTTATTAAGTTTAAAATATTACTTCATTAACTTAATTTTTCTAATTATAATTAAATCGTTATTATTAATAAAACTTATGTGTTAATGTCGTATGAGTCATTTTGAATGACCTAATATTACTAGCACATTATTAATAATAATAAAATTTTATTTTAATTAATTTCAGAATTGCATTAATAAATATTACAAAAATATCATTTTAATATAAGTATACTAAAATTCATTTAGAAATCTTCATGGCTTCCATTATTATTATACAAGACTCTTCTTCATTTCATTTTCTTCTATTAATTTCTTTTAAATTAGTTTTATTATTTTATTTATTAGTTATAAATGTGATGATTATAATGATTTTTATTATAAGTTATAAATTTTAAACTATTAATTTAAAATTGTTAATTGTTATTAAGAATTTTTTATAAAATGTTTAAAATCTTTAATTAAAATGATTAATTCGTTTCAAATATCGTAATATCTTTTTTTTAACTGCACTTTATTCTCATTGATTTAATAAATATTTTAAATGAACTGTTTTAACTTTTATTATTTCATATGAGTTTAGAATAATATATAATTTTTATATAAAAAATTAATTTATTGGTTGTTGTTGTTTCTATAAATATATTTCGCATTATTTATTTATATTTATTTGTCAAATGCAAAAAAGAAAGTAAAAAGTAGTCATATATATCAGTCGTTTATTCTTAAATTATTTGCAACTTATGACTAGCTTAATTAATAATTAGTTTATAAGTCTTATAATTAATAAATTAATTATATATTTAAAAAGTCTTGCACTTTTCCCTTATAACATAAATGTTTTAATTCTTCATACCATAAAGTATATAAATAATTGATTATTTTTCAATAAATTAATAAATAAGTATAAGTATTTAATGGCGTCTAGTTTAAAAATTCTTATTACTCGTCTTAAAGTCCATCATCTTCAATGATAAACTTCACTGATTATATCTATTAAAAATTTAAACCTCAAAAATGCCTTAACTTATTTTTAAAGGTGGATCTTATTTTGCTGTAGTTATTCAGTTGCTGATGGTTGTACACCTAAAACTGACGTCCATGTCGTGCTGCAAAATTGCTCTCGTATAGTTTAGATAGTGACTCTGAGCGTGCATTTGCGGCTATTGTAGTGCTGGTAGAAGTACTAGAAGCACCAAAGGCGGAAGCGCTGCTGCCGGCTTGATTGACGACATAGGGCATCTGTTTTCGGCGTTTCTGGTGTAAGTAGGTCCAAATGGCAATGACAACTAGCTGAGCTAACAGGAACACAGTGCCAGCCACGATAAGAGCTGAAATTTATTTGGGAATATACACAAATCGTGTTTTGACAATACAATTAAAACAAAGTCAAATAATTCAAATTACCTATGCCATTAACGCAATATGCGTGTTCTGGATCATTGGCAACATAGACAGTTTCATTCACATCGTAACCTTTGGGTTTGCCCTGCTGCTGCTTATCAAAACCAAATTTGTCCGTAATCTGTATAGACTGGACTAAAAGCATATCATCTAAATTGGGCTTCTTTGTTATGTCACGACGAGGGCGGGTGCTGACATTATCATTATAAGTAGCTTAAAGTTGTAAATTTTATTAATTAGTTCATTTCTTTACTTCATCAAGTAAAATCACAATAAAAGTCTGAGAAATTATATTGACAGATGGGTTAATTTTTACCTGATAAACTTAACGACCGCCGTCTTCTGCGTCCAAATGAATCCAGCGATTTTAAATCTCCAGTTAAATCATCTTGTTCACACTGCACTGGCTCACATGATGGCATACAAGGTGTTACCAAGGCCCGAAATTGCACAACTTCCGAAGACGGAAATTTGAATGCATCGAAGTGCGACAATAATACCTTGCCGGAGAATGTGCTTTTGTATATAGGACCCATAATGAAGTGATCTGTTGGACAACCTCTTGAATCAATAAGAGTAATTTCTGCATTATCACTACCATCCATAGCAACCAATTCGCGTACAAATATTTCATAAGGACTTTGCTCGTCAACTATTTCGAATTTAAGTGCTAATGGATCACCGACTTCAGCTGAACGCATAATATCAGAACCATCGCGTGAAGTGATTTTCATTATCACATTCGGTGAATCGACAATGACTTCTTCTGACAATGCGGGCTCAATGTCACCCTTGATGCCTAGATCCACTTCATTCGTTACTGATTTATTGGTCATATCATATTGACAAGTAACTGCCAATCCCAAATCAGATGACGTCACAATTGTGTCATGATGTTGTATAACTACATCGTTGATATAACGACCTGAACTTGTTTGACGAACGTTGCATTCAAGATCCTGGTAGCCCATACGTATTTCAAAGTCAAGCGATTTTTTAACATCCACAGCACACGATTTTGGTGAACCTTTTGCGTAGATTTTACCATCGAATAATTTGGAGGTGCGTATACGTGCAATCATATCACCAGAGCCACATTCAACAGTTACGTTATAACAGGAGGATAACTCATAAGTTGCAGCTTCAGGCACATCCAAATAGGGATTTTGTATATCGGTTAGTGTGGCGCGATTATGATGTGATAAACGGCAGACCATATCACCAGTATCACCATAATCATATGAATGACATCTGTGCCATTGAGATGGAATTTATTAAAACGCTTTGGAAAAATGTTATGAGCTTACCTATAGGGGGAATTTAAGCACAAATCTCTACACTCATCTATACTGGCCACATCTTGATAAACTGAGTCAACCGTTTTAAGTATTCTGCCCTTCAGACGTTTAAATTCACACAACTTATTTGGTTCTTCAGCACAACTGTTTTCCAAATAGTCAATACCATCTTCTGGTAGAAAGGCGCTAGCACCAGCCAAAGTGAAACGATCCATTTCAGAAAGTTCACAGGTATTAGTCGCAATGTGATAGTTGGCAGATCTAATTTTAAATTTAGTGGTGGCAGATGTGGCAATAAAGCAAAGATATTCAATTAATTTATTTACTGATTTTATGTGTTATATATTAGTTTCAAAATTATGCAGATGTTCACTTTTAACAAATTGGGAGACTACTTTTCTGCGTTCAAATAAATTTTAAATCAGATATCTTACCTGCAAGTGAATTCATTTTCTTCCAAGCATAACCTTGCACAATCGTGTCTAGAAGCCACTTCCTCGGATTTCTTCTTCAGTCCCTTCAATTTAAATCCTTGAACACGATCAACACTCCAAGCACGAGCGCATGGACGTATACCAAGACATGTCTTTTGTGCATAAATAGTGAAGACAGGAAATTGGGACTTCGTAAGAGCACCTGCCAAAAAGGTAATTCACCAAAAATAAAGGTGGTGTTGTTTAAATGTTTATAGAGAATGAGCTTTCTTAAAAGAAAACTTCGTGAAGAATAAGACAGTTTGAAACGTTATTTTTATTTATTTATTATTGATTCAAGGAAATTCGTACAGCAAGACTATACTTCACAGGATCATTTCTGTAGTGTCTTCTTTTACTTTATATCTTTTGAAATTTGAAGTATTTGATTTGGATTTGGATTTTCTATTGTTGGATACATTTTTTTAAAAAAATGTAAAATTGTGATAATAATCAATTAATCATAATTGTTTTTTTTAATGTTCTTTGCTAAGTGGGACTTCAAATACAATAGTTACTAGTAGCACATTTTAAAAATATTTATATTTGTATTGAAAACTATTTAAAGAACTATATATACAATTGAATAGGTACATAGAATAAAGATTACCTGGTAATTGATCTGCATTAGCTGTGAAGAGCACACAAAGTCCAGTTTCGTAATTTGCCGATTGACACGTCTCATTATTTTCGCAAGCCTCCAAGCAATCCGTCAGCATCAAAGTACCCGGCATTGAATCCAACAGCTTGTCGGGAGCAGAAAAAACATAGCTGCAATAGCAAAAAGAATTTTTTTATAGATTCAATTCATGTCAAAATCTTCAGTTAGTCCCTCGATAATAAGGTGTAGTATGAGATATTAATTTTTGTTAAATAGAATCACAATCACAATGGTTAAATCTATGATGGTTAAATCTTCGCCTTAAAAGGAGCGAAAAATGGTTTAAATTTCTAACTAACAACTGCACTCCGGTTTAACATTCCATTTTTTAACATTGATTTGCCCACTTCTGTGCTGGTACTGAGGACGACATTTGTCATGACTTAAGATAATTGTCATTGGAACATTACACAAGCAACAATTCCACTTACCACAAACGGTGCAACATCCTTTATTGCAGCTCCAACACTTTTTTACAGATTTGCTGCCATTGTTGTTCCGGCAGTAAATTTTCGCAGACGTCCATTTAAGCGTTGATTTGTAGCAAGTACTTATGTGTCGGCCGCTCCAACAAAAGTTGAAGCAACAATTGCCCCAACAAAACCAACAGAAATAAGAAGAAATGTGCAGCAAATAAATAAATTGCCAACAAATATTTCCAGCATTTGAAAAGGTAATTGTTTATGGTAGTAAAAGCAATTTAAAAATAAATGAAAAATCTTTTAAATTAAAAAGATTTTTGCTTCTAATGCGTTCTGCGTTTTGGATTTTGGGCTCAGTTAGCCCAGGCAAGAGGAAACAGCGACTTAGAAGTGTTGTTTTGTTTGCTTGTTGTCTTGCTGCTGTTGTTTGTTTGATGACTTTTCATTTCTAAGCTGAACTTACAGTGCCAAAGCCTTTTCATTTCATGACGTTAGAAGCTCTAAACGCGACAAATGGCTTGGGCTTGGGCTTGGGCTTGTTAGCCACTTGATAATAATTGCGAAAGTTGTTATTTGTTAGAAAATACAAAGTCTGTATTAGAGACAAGTGACTTAAAAGCTGTTTTACATGAAAGTCAATTAAGCCAACAAAAAACTGGAGTTTATTAACTTCACTTGTCGCTACAAAAATAAATTGTCATTTCCTCTTCTGATAAAGATGCATATAATTGGTGTGATTAAAGTAAAAGTTAAGTTTATTGAATTGAGAAACTAGAGTTTTCCTTCAGAGATGATGTTCAAGTGTTTTGCAATAAATGTAAAAATTCTCAAAAAGGAAGTTATTTTTTCTTTTATTGATTCTATTCATTCCTATTTATTTCATCATCTTTCTATTCATTTAACATACCACCAATATATATTGTAAAAAGTAATATACATAATCTTTTTTGAATTTCTTTTACTTTAGGTCTAGAAATTATACATTCAGTGATACCAGATATATCTCTTAGTATTAGAATATTAGTCCCATTTTCACTTGAATCCATGTTAGCGAATGTTTTTAGTTTGAAAATCAGATAGTCAGAGTGCAAAAAATTACACAAATAAAATGTGGAAGTGCGTAAAATGAACTGAATCAGACATATATATAACTCTATCCACAAAAAATAAAACACATTTTACAAGACGTCCTGGTACACATGTTAAAATCACATAATTGTCAACAGCACGACAGAGTTAAATTCGAAAACAATAGTATGGATGTATGGTCGTATAGATGTACAATAAGACGCAGAACAATAATTTATTCCATAAAATTATATTACAGTTTGTGCACTTTTTCTATTCATATTTGCTGATTATAGATATAAACATCCATCAATAAAAAAATTAAATTTGTTAGTTGATAAAAAACGTGTGTCTGAAACACCACAGTTTTCATAGTCTATTCGATTTTTTGAGTATAATTTGTCTGTATCGATATGCTCATTTCAAAATGTAGCTAACACAAAAGAACTATAATTCAATTAAGAAAAATCCTTTCGCTTCGCCGGCCCTAGACAAGAAAAGGTAATTACCGATACAGAAATTGTCTGTCACTCGATTTTACTAAAGAATTTTTACACTGTACGCTTGACTACTTAAATACAAAATGTATGAATTGATTTATTATGTACAAAGTTTGTATGGATGAGCTTATCAATTAAGTAATATAGAAGAGAATAAAGTTATGTAAAAGTAGTAAATAAAAATAATAATTATTTCTTATTAAAAGCCAGCATGGAAACATTTTGTGCTTTTTATCAAATTCTCAAGAACAACAATGTGAAGTGTGAATATCTATTAAATGTATCTACTGGATACATTCACAATTACGATGACAAAACAGTTTTTAAGTCGGGGTAAACAATCTCTAAAGAGATTTAATAAGGCATAGTATTAACCTATCATTAATAACAAAAAAAAATTTAATTAAAAAAATGTTCAAGACAAAAATATTTTAAACGAAATTATATGCACTCACCCTGTAACTATTTCGAAGCCCAACATTTCAGAGTCACATTCCAGACTCTGACTTAGAATTTGAGCGTTGCTCTTGCCAATTGTATTTTCAGCCTGTATAGCTTCTATATCCTTGACGCCGGTATATAATTGATCATTTGTTGTTTGGGTGGGCTTATCATATTTCAGTGTTGAAGTTGTCAGCATATGCGTGTCTGCGCCAATCTCACCTATTTTCTCCCTCCCCAAAGAAGCAGCTGAGCTGAGTTCAGTTCCTGCTGCGTCTATGACGACGGCATGGTTCAATGATTGATCGCGTTTAGTTGTATCTGATTTTGTCTTTTCAACGGTTTTAGTTTCAGTTTCAGCATTGCTTGGCAGTTTCGTTAAAAGTGCAGCAGCACTAGCATTTGCTGCGGTATTGGCATCTAGTCTCATTTGCCGTGCTGTGATGGCGGATGGCGCAAATATTAGATAGGACAGTAGCATATGCAGCAGCATCTTGTATTTTGTGTTCCACGTGTTAATTTGCATATTTAATTTCAATACAGTCTGCAAGTAATAAAGCAAAAACAAAATTTATTTCATACTTAACAGATGCATTATTTTAATCGTTCCTTGAAGTTAATTTATAATTAAACGTATAAGCACTATCTGGAATACATGTTTATTAGAACTGAAACTGGAGCATTTACTTAAAGCAGAATTAGAATAGTGGCTCGTATTTTTATTACCTTTTCAGCAGTCGTATATTTCCAAATAAAGTAGAAAAAGAAGAATGGTTTTATTCAAGCGATTGCCGACATCAACGGCTGCTATCGAGAAAACACACAAACGTAGATGAGTGTTATGGTACCAATAGATCAAATAGTTTAGGATGAATTTTATGCGTTCAGAATTTTGAGCATACAAATGATAATAGATTAAGTGTTTTCTGCAGTTATTACCTATGTTAGAAATGAATTAATGTTACCGATAAGCCGCTCCTATATTTGGCATTAGTTAATACTATCGTTAGACTAGACAAGGGAAAACAGTTTTGTTAGTAGCGATGGACCACAGCAATGTTATGAAAGAATCTAAGTTATTAATGGGCCACACTCAAAAAAGGCTTCAATACTACTATGCTGAGAGACCTTAGAATAGAATCGGTTAAACAATACATAGTGGACAGAGACCAGAAGCTATTCGCGAAAACCGACAGACTGCCCTACTTGGCACTATCTAATCTCAGAATAATCGCTAGTCGCATAAGGCGGTGCGCAGATCTTAGATCAGTCATCAAATTATCACGAAGCTTTTGAGGAATACTTAAATTAGTCAGCGAGAAGGGTGAGACTCTGCAGAAAACTTCTAGGCATCAAAGAGTAAAAGTGGCCAGATGCACTACCTCGGAAAAGGTTCAACATAAGACTACCAGTTGACCACACACATAACAGGTAAGAGTCTCTATTTTCGTTTGTTTATGTCATGTTATTGATATGCTCGCAAATAAATGAATGCTATTTTACAGTCACATTAATTAAACCTATATTACCTATATTGAATCATATATTGCTTATATTATATAAAAATCTATGCTGTCGATACATCATAGAAATAGGGATGGATTATGATTTTAAAAATTTTAAAATTATGTGCTTTGAAGGTGAATTGATTATGAAATACCTATAAAACTGCAAGATATCGCATTGAATTGGTTATGGAAGCGATGCTTTTTATGTACTGCACCGTCTCGTCCTAAGTAATCTGCATAGGTCGAATAGGTCTACCTGAATGCCTACTAGGAGGAGCACTCTACTGTCTGACTGTCAACTATTAACAGTCCAGGTTTATGCATTCTATCTGTATGTCTCTGACATGTTGAACATTTTTTACTTAACCGAATAAAAGCATTTTATATCATTTAAATAATTTTTTAAATTTTTTACTTTTTAGTATTTTGTTCTGTTTATGAGTTTAATTAGTTTCCATTAACTTTCCATAAAATAAATATTTAATTTTAGTATCACCTTTAAGAGTTTTGTTGTTTTTTTATAATTTAAATAAAACAAGCAGTAAAGATGCATTTTTTTGCAACTTCAGCAGTCAGTGAATAGCTAGAATCCGTATAATGAATTTTATATTAATATTCCATTACTAATCAGTACATCTTACCTCCAACATAATCTTACTACCGTACAAAAACTCAAAACGTTTTGTTGCAATGTAGGTATTTACTAGTGGAATCAACCAAAAACTGAACTGTTTCTAATCTATTAGTTTGGCAAAAAATGTATTCAGCGAAATTACAACAATAACGATGGCAGTAACTTGTTGTAATAGTTTTAGTTGCTTTTTATCCTTTTCCAACAAAATTATATGATAATCCTTATCCTAGGGCTTGCATAAATATCTAGCATCGTTTATTATATCAGCAGCCTATGATACCAAGCATCATCTCACATAACCTCAAGGTTGATCCGTTTACCTTGAAATATGGAAATGACTAATAAATTTTTCTTTAACAAACAAAGCTATTCATGTATAAAGCAAGGAAAAAATATGTACTGCTATATATACAATATAAATGATGGGAGGTTTGTAAAGGTATTAAAAATTTGAGTTACTGTACGGATTAGAGTTAAGTAGCGTGATGTCTACATAATAACTACATAGCCATTTTAAAAGCTAACGTGTATAAGTAAATATGTTCAGATGGCTGTAAGATGTTGATCAATGACATTTAGATCTTTGTACTATATGAATTACAAGTGTATATATAGCCAAGAAATATTTTTGCGATAAATGTAAATTTATATACCTTTTCAACATAAATAAAATTAATAAAGTATACAAAGAAAAATCATTGAGAAAACTCATTGAATAAAACAGTTTCGCATTCTTGGATCATTTTTTAATCATAAAATGTAATTACTTCTTTTTACAGAAGAACTTTTTGAATTCGTGTTGACCACTGAGAATAAGTATATTCTGCCATGGCATTTGTTGTGTTATCTCATTGCTTATTAGTAAGCTAATAAATTTTAAATAGCAATACCTAGTCATCTAATGAAAGCTTACATGAAACCTCTATCAGTACATAAATTATATACAATAAGAATTTTCTTTCGTAATGAATTGGTCCAGAGTTGCCGTCAAGTTTAATAATGAAAATTGATTTATGAGCTACATAAACACTAATGTATAGCTTAGCCGTAGAATACTTCAAGAGTGTAGTCTGTAATTATATGGAACAGTGGTGTGCAGAGAACTTGTAGTGAATGATTTGATCTTTTTATCCCATTACATATCATACACTTCAAAATTATTGACCTTTTCGAATTTTATTCCCCACTCAGGTGTGTAATATCAGTATCCATAACCAAGTTAACTGACTTAAGTGCTAAGTAAGTTCGATTTTTAAACACTTTTATGCGGCTATCATGCATTCACACTTGTAGCACCACATTTGCTGCACATTGCATGTATGAAGCGTAGTGCGAGGAAGCATTAAATCATCATTCATTTTTTGGTATTTTAAATTTCATGCCAACTTTAATACCAAAAACAAAAAAAAAACAAAACAAAAAGAAGATTAATTTATATCCCATACCCGCCAAAGATTAATTTATTTTCTGTTTATCTTGTGTCTAAATTGTAGCACCTTACACATTTTCATACCGATGTGCATATACTCATGTACACATCAATAACCATAACAAATTGTCAACAACAAATTCTGCCTCAGCAATTTTCGTCTAAATGCTCCTTGTAAGAGCCTTAAGTTATAACTAAGAATCTGCACCATCTGCCGTTTCATTACTTACTAACAACACAGATGTACTACAATCTGCAACAGCTTCCACGTACCGCATCTTGCATCTTACGTACAAAGCCATTGATAAATTATATCATAAATTAAAAAAAATGAAAACAACATGCATTTTTTTAGTGCAGTTCCCGAGCCTTCTGAGTGCTGGAACCCTTCGATTCCAGCGTAAAACGTTGTGTCTGCCTTTTATTAACTCAATTCATTGCAACAGGTTCTGTTTCTGATTATGCAAATTAGCTGTCAAGTATTTCAATTGCTTTTGACTTGTGTCAGTCAAAATTGTATTGACAACAAATTAATCGTTAAAAGTATTTTTATGCACCCAACGTAATTGGTGAATAGTAGTTACTGGTTGAGCAAGTGCCGGCAATTCTGTTGAATGGAAGTGTAAAATAATAGAAAAATACTGAAATGCTCTATAAGAGTGAAAAAAAAACAAACAAATAAGAATTTAAAGTGATAAATTATTTCCAGTAGACATTTGCGAGCCTCTCTATTTTAAGTCACTGCTATTAAATATACAACCAACTAACCCGTCTTAGTAACCTAAAGGTCTTTCACAAATATTTGGTATAAAACTTACTCCCAATATCAATATGTTTAAATTATTTTCCTACACATCAAAAATGTTCTCATTAGAAAGAGGGTTTATTTAATTTAAATTTAAATATTAAATAAATATTTTTAACCTAATGAAATTATTTATATTAATATTCTTAATAATTAATCAATTTTAATACGCATGAAGTCATTAGTTAGAAATTACAGAAAAAACAATTAATGTGCCAGCTAACAGTACTAAAAATATAATTTATGTGATCACCAAATTAATCGAATTAATCAGAATAAGTTTTTACTAAAACTTAAAACCAGAATACGTAGATACTAAGTACAATTCCATATTAATATTTTTAAAATCAAGCACTTTTTTAAGAGAAATATTGTTAATTAAAAAACTCAATAAATATTTTAATATATTTCATTTTTTAAATTCCTGCGAGTCATAAAAATTCGTAAAAAAATAATTTCTGTTGAGTTCTGTCAGATGGCAGACTCTAAGCTATATACTAGAGCTTTCCATGAAATTGTAACTTTGCTCAACAGTTTTTCCATATGTATATGCCCAAATCGTATTCTTTATGTATATTTCAAGGATACAATGTAAACACTGTCCTGAAAACTTTGAATGAGTCTTGAAAATAATCATTCATTTATTTTCATTGAATTAAAATAAAGGGGACAAATTAAAAGCAAGTTTTCTTTAAATTTTAAGAACAGAGTAAGTAGGTAAGTACAAGAAATAAAAAAATACGATATGAGAGTTCCACTCACAGAACACAAGCAGAAATCATGTGTGTAAATATGTAGTTTAGCAACATATGTAAATAGCATGGCAACCACATATCACATTTGACATGGCTAGGCTACTTCGAACATACGAAGGAGTAAATGTAGTTTGTGTTTTAAGCTTATAGCCGAAATATGGAATTAGTGGTGACATAAACAATAGCTATTCAATCATTCTTTCATGTTTATAAGCATATACTGTGAAATTTTACATATTTTGAACTAAAAACAATAATGTTAATCAAGTTTTAAAGTTCAAAGACACAATTATTATGAAAAGATGTTCTAAGAGATTAACTTTGCTGTTTTCGATTTCAATATGAACGCTTAAAAAAGTTTATTTGAATAGTCTCGATTTATTAAAAAATATCTTCTTATGTCTATGTAA